CTTTCCTAAATATTGAATTTATAAAAGCAGCTAAGTTTAGTAACACTGTACAAACATAAAACCACATTATGTACAAACATAAAACCACATTCTGACCATTTCTCCTCAAAGTATTGGAAGTCAAGACATAAGATTAAATCAGCAAACAAAAAAGAAATGAAGACATTCCAGACTACACACTGTTAGTAAAGCACAGTTTTTATATATTTTTTCTCACTGTCTCTACTAGGAAGAATGTCTCAGTAGATACAGGTCATTTTTCTAATTTCTTCTGACTTTGAACACATTCTCTCACTAAACAAGAAAAAGTTGTGTGTATTAGCAGTCTACCATGTGCAAGAGAAAATGAAGTTGGGGGGGGGGGGGGGGTTAAATACTGCCAGTCATGTAAAACATATGTGGATACTGTACAAGAGTAACATCATAATATAAAAGCTTTATAAACTTTTTTCTAGTCTAGGCTCTACACTGGCACAAAAGCCCATATGTGTGATACACTGAGACTACAAAGAAGCCCCACTTCCTAGTTGTCACCAGATTGGCCACTACAGGATGTGCCATGAATTTAGGTAGAAGATGTAAAATAATGCTATACAAGGTATTCATATAGGTTAAATTTAACTACTTGGAAGACAAGCAAAGGTTTCTAAGAAAAGCAATTCTACAAAGTAATTTGGACAGGTCTGAGACAGTTTACACCATAGCTGGAATCAAGGCAGCTGCATGTAAGCTAAAATAGTTATCATTTCCCTTCCCTAGCCTGGCCCTCTTCCCCAGGATCTAAAGAAAACTGGGTTCAGATATTGTGAAAATCTATTTTCTGCCTGATTTGCAAGGTGGGTTTCTCTGGTGGTTTCTCTAACTGCTACAATTATTTCTCAAATTCTCATACATGCACACACAACAACAAAATATACAGTATACATATAGCATAACAATTTAAAATTAGATTGGGAAAATAAAAATGTATCAACAAAGCCAGGCAGGCGGACAGGCTTGCTTACATAGGATGGCTTATTGCTGCGTAAATGCAGAGTTCAGTTATTTGACTACAAGTAAATGTGTCACATTTTAAAGGCAGCGCCCTGTGAGCCAGCATGTGTGAATCTGTACCACAACCAATTGTATAGACCAGCTACAAAAAGCCATTCCTAAGCTATTTATTGCCTCAGTTTTCCCTCCCCCTATATGAGTGCTTCATCAACTATTTTTAACAGTGTTAAATACAGTTCATTAACAACATCCATTGGCCATAGTATTCTTCCCCAAAACTATGGGAAACTTCATGGAGGAAGGAACCAAGAAAATACTGTATGTATAAGAACATGAGCGACATGTTTAGGGCCGAGCTTAAATTTTGTGCTAGCTGTCAAAATAATTCCAAACATAATTCAAGGTGTAGATTTTGTCCTTCTTTAACTGTTGCCTCTCTGGTCCTCTGGCAAGGTTATCTACAGAGATATTTTAACAACCATAGAACATTCTCTGGAAGACTCACATATGGCCTTCTACATATGGCATTGAAAAGGGCTCTTATGTTATTTCTTGACATTCACTCTTACTAATGAAAAACAGAAAAAAGCGAAAACATCAATAAAGGTTGCAATCCTATCCTAAAGGTTGCAAAGTCCTACTTAGGACTAAGCCCCACTGAAACCAATGGGGCATACTTCCAAGACACACTAATTAAAATGCACATTAGAACATTTTTACACAGGACTTAATACAAGCAATATCCCATGGAAAAATGAAATTCATCTGTGCAGATGATGCTCTCTATAGTATCAGCTGAGCACCCAAGAACTATTGGCATGTTGCCTTCTCTTTCTAGCTCTTTTTAACCCTAAGAAAACAGCAGGTTCTAATGTTCTTTGACAGGCACTTTGTAACTTTCCTGCAGAACAAACTGGAACCCAGAAAATGCAAGTCAGATTGATCACCAACACCTTCTTTGAGAGGTTACCCTTGGTTTTATTGTTTGTAGCCAATGGCCATCACAGTAGAAACACATAAAACCATACAGGAGCAAATCATGGCAGCAAACCAAAGGAGCAAATCATGGAAGAAGCGTTTGTATAATATTGAAGAGGAGAAACAAGACCTCCCTGAATTTCCATCACGATATTATTCAACACCTTCTGCTAAGCTTAGGTGACACACATGCTCTAGCGTCTAACCACTTCCGTAAGAAATGCAAGCCGCCCGAGGGGCCTCTGGGATGACATAAGACATCCCTTCCCTCACGCAGCACGAAGGGGCCGTGGCGCCGAGCGAGATCCCCGCGGAGCCTCGGCAGCAAGCCTCCGCAGCTGCGGTTCAGCGCCTGCTTTCGGCCAGTGACCTTGGCCTTCCCTAGCTAGTCACACAGGGCGAGCCGAGGGGAAGCCGCTGCGACCGTCCCCAGCTGCGCTCAGCAGCCCCAGGCCGTCCTAAGGGACGGGCAGATGGACAGAGCGAGGAGGGCACCGCCGTGCATGCACCTGCGCAGGGTGGGTGGCGGTGCTGATGCTGGGGAGCACCAGACGCGCGCAAGAGGCAGCCCCCCTATGCACACGCCCCTCGGACACTTTCCAGCAGGCTGCCGCAAGCCCTCTGATGCCTCGGGCGTAATCCTCCCCGGCACAGCTGGCCTCCCGCTGCCCACCGGCAGCGCCTCATCCAGCGCCGATCAACCCCTCCCCGCCCCGCAGGACAGCGCGGCTTGCGTCAGTCCCCGACCCGCGCCCGCCCGAGCGCCTTTCCGTCCCGCCCTCCCCCACTACCAGCCTCCGCGCCTCGTCGCCCACCTCCTTCGTCCCCCTCGTCCGCAGACGCGCCGGCCGCCCGCCCGCCGCGCCTTCGCCGAGCACGAACCCACCAGCCTCTGGGACTTCGCGGGAAACCCACCTTGCCTGGCCTCGCCAGGCTCGGCTTCATGCAACGCCCGCCTGCCGCACAGGACAAGCCGCGCCTCAGCCCATCCTTCCCGCAAGCCTGCGCCGCCGCCTCCCAGCCGCCGCCCGCCGATGTCACAGACGGGCAAGTGGGCGGCGGCGCGGCCTGCTCGCCTCACCTGTCAGCGGAGGCCGCGTCCTCTCGCGCACGACTCCGCTCAGCCTCGCACCGCCCGGCCAGTTCCGCATCAACAGCCTGTGGGAGGAGCGAGCCACCAGCAGGAGGAGGGCAGGGAGGGGGGAGCGGGAGAGCGAACCATTCAGCCGCTCGAAGGGGACGGAGCGGAGGAGGGAAATTGGGCCAACCCCCAAGCGGCGGGAAGAGGCGCTGCGAAGCCGCGGGCGGCGCATCCCGTGAGGTCGGGCGAGCCGGTAGAGTCTCGCTTTGAGCTACGCGGGCCCAGGTGCTGTTAAAGAAAAGGAGTTTTTAAAAATAAAAAAGACAGCGCTTTAAAATACTCCAAATAAAAACCGCATTCTTTCAGAGCAAAGAGCCAAACTCCTCAACTTTGGTTTATGAATTCATTTAATCATGTGCAAGGTGAATATTTCCATTGCTTTAACATTTTAAAATCAAATCCAATTTAAGAACAGCCAGCAGAAATCTGTTATAGCTTTCTCAAGTGGACTGTCCTCTTCTGGAACAGGGCAAATCGTTTTACAAGAAGGCACTGTTTAAAATACTAGACACTTGACAATAGGGAGGCCCTGCACTTGGTTGTAAACCCTCAGACAGACACACAGAGCCACTGAAGCCACCGTGGCCTTAAATGACAAACATAGCTCAAGAAGCATCCCCAGGCTGCAAACCTAGCTCCTTCAAGGGGAATCCCACCCCATCTAGAGCAGGTAGAATTCCTTCCATCTGGTCAGCTGGACCTAATAGCATCTCAGTCTTGTCTGCATTGAGCTTCATTTTGTTAGCCCTCATCCAGTCCATTGTTGCAGCCAGGGACCGGTTCAGCACATCCACAGCCTCACTTGCTTAAGATAAAAAGGAGATAGGACTTGATAACAATGCACTCCAAAACTCCAGATGAATTTACTCAGCAGTTTCATATAGATGTTAAATAACATGGGGGGCAAGACTGATCCCTGAGGAACCCCATACATTCAAGGGACAGAGCAAAATCCCCCAAGCACCACCTTCTGAAGCTTACCATCCAAGTAGGCATGGATGCAGCTCTTCTCACACCCAACTCAGACAGTCGCCCCATGGTTAATGGTATCAAAAGCTGCTGAGAAATCTAGGAAAACCAATAGGGTCATACTTCCCATCTCTCTTCCAGCATAGGTCATCATACAGGGTAATCAAACCTGCTTCCATGCAAAAACCAGGTCTGAACCCTGAATGAAATGGATTCAGGTAATTTGTCTCATCCAAGAATGCCTAGAGCTAGTTCACTACCACCCACTCAAGAACCTTGTCCTGGAAGGGGATGTTTGCCACTGGCCTAAAATTGATGAATTATTCTGGGTCCAGGGAGGGTTTCTTCAGGAGTGGTCTCACCACTGCTTGTTTCAGGTGGCCAGGGACCACTCCTTCTTGTAAAGAAATATTAATCACCTCCCTAGCCCAGCTGGCATGGCTCTTTTTAGCCAAGAAGGCCAAGAATCCAGTACAGACATGGCCACATGAACCTGTCCAAGCACCTCGTCAACATCCTCAAGCTGTACTAAAACTTATCCAACACAACTAGATCAGACTGTTGCCCTTTTCCTGCCACGCCTTAATTCTTTTTTTGACTCTACATGTTTCCATGTAAAAGTTGGACAGCTTAGTTTCTTAGGAGTTAAACATTAATCCAGGGATAGATATTTGTATAAGAACTATGTTGACTAATTAGATTATCCCACATCTGACACAACAAGATTAAGCACATTAAATATCAGTATATAATGTGCCACCTATTTCAGTGTAACAAGTAGTAGCTTAAAAAGCTCTGGAACTCTTCTAATGTTTTGATCCTAGAGCACATAGAAAAGTTGATCTATCCAGCTGCAGAATTCTGAAGCAAATATTTCAAATGTCCACTTGAAGACAAATTAGCCTATACAAGCTGAGCATTGAAGAGCAATTTCAGGTCATGTATTTATTCTGATGCATTGGAAATGGTTCATCACATTACAATCACAATTCTTTATTAGATTTGTTCTATTACATAAACATTAACATTTTGCAAATGATTAGTTAAAAATACAGAAATTTTGAAATTGCAAAGAGTTATAAAAAAGATTCTACACACTGTTACCAATGGTTTATATTGTAAAGGCCAGTGAAAGAGACCAAGCTCAAGTGCAAAACAGACACAAGACCAACACCATAGGTATGGCACTTGCTACATAATCAACAATCACATTGGTTCAGGGACCCAGACTCTCAGGATGCTTGCAGGGCAAACAAATTGAAATCCTGAAAAAGAAAGAATCACATACTACTACCGTACCAAGGAATCTCAGATTTAATTCAGGCATCAAATAACCTGACATGTAGGTTGAGGAGTATTTTTTTAATTTTTTTTTTTCTCTAGCAACCCAATCCTATATGCAAATACAAAAGCCCACTGAAATCAGTGAGCTTAGCTATCATTAATTCTGTAGGATCAGGCTGTAAATATTAAAACTTTTTACAGTTATTAAAGTCAAAGGGCCAACTCTAGGCAGTAACTCCACATATTCAGAGTGGAGACAATTGATCACAAACTTATGTCTCAGGACAGATGAGCATCCCAACTCTTAACAGACATTAACATCCTTGAATCACATATCTAAACTGAGTTGTATTCCTTTCTTAAGATATCTGAGAGCAATATTAAGCATGTGAACACACATAACAAATCCCTACCTGGGTGTTTGGATCAACAAAAGTACACTTTTGAAGGGGTCATTTAGAGTGGAGGGTGATTTTATTACACAGATTTCAGTGCACTGTTTAGTTCCACTCACTGAGACGTCAGCAATCTTCATGTCAAGGTTTATGCTAGTATTCCAGCAAGATGCACACACATAGCCCAACTGTGGGGTCATACACCTAGAACCGGACAGGGCGAGGTGACCATCTCAGCAGGCATTGCTGGGCATAGGGGGGGCAGCAGAGACAGCCTCCCAGTATTCTACTGTGTGGCAGATCAGACCTGCATATGCCACCCAGCCAGTTCTGGCACTCCAAAATTAGCTTGCCATGTCAGTGTTGATGGTGGGTGTTATCTAATTGCCAAGGCTGAAGTAAGAGTTAGCTGCCATCACAGTCAGCTTTTACATATGTACTTGGGAGGAGGCACCATCTTGTCCTTTGTCTTAGGCAGCACAATATGTTGGGCACCCCTAATTTCAAATACAATGACTAGGAATAGTCTTCATTCCTGCAAACCAGGTGTCCGGAGACCTCCAGCTCATGCTGAAGAGCTCAGCCCAGCTCTACACACTACAAGACTGAAACAGGAGGCTCTGATTAGTCAAGAATAAGTTCAACTGGACTCAGTGGAACTTTTTAGCATCTATACACAAAATTAGGCTTCATGAATATACACTGTATTTACATGTGTTGTACACTTTCACATTCAGAGCACCTGCAAAAGGCAGGGAAAGGTGACTGGACATAGCTTTCTAGTGCATCTATGATGTACATATGAAGGATGATTATTTTTCTTGAGGGAGGAGCAAAAAAAATGGAAGAGTAATCATAAGGGACTTCTGTGGTCCAGCTACTCTGCCAATCCATATGAGCCTTTCTAAAATGTCAACAAAGTGCAACTGTGGGCTCATACAGGTAGCTCTTATGGCTCTGACTTGCAGAAAGAAAAGATCCCTCTAGAAACAAAAGAAATGCTACAACTGTCCACCATGTAGCCAGCTCTCTACTGTTGCAGACGTTAAAATATATTAAGAGCATTCAGTCCAGAGAAACTCCCATGAAGTTGCACAAAAAGATGTGCAAAGGTGGTCGCCTCTGAAATGCCTGAGAAGCCTCTGCTTGTGTGTGAATGGTGGGCCGTTGAAATTAAACATGGGAAAAGTGCTTAGAACAATAAAGCCACATGAGAAATTGATAGAGCAGGTCTTCATCTCAGCTATATTGAGGTGTTTCAGTTGTTGTTCATTTTTGGAAAACATTAAATCAAAGACTAAAGCATAATCTAGTCCATCCCTTTTGCCTTAAGCCTTCCTTCATCAAAGCACAGAAACCATATGACCATAGCTCTCTGCACTGCTTCGGTTTTGCGAAGAGAGGAGGACAGCTTCTTGTTAGTAAAAGGTACATGGTGGGATTACTTCAGCAACTTGGTGCCCTGGGACATCAGGGTCATTCATTGACATCCCAGATTTCTGAAAGAAGTGGTGGCAGCTTCTTGTCCTGTAGCCGCAGAGCAAACACCTGTTCAGAATGAACACTACTTAGAGTCCGAAGACTGACCAGTTTCATTAACATTCGTGGGAACATTAGATGATCCTGAAAGATGATACACAAAAGAACAAGGACATCAGATCCAAAAATCTGTTTCTCCATCTGTTTCCCATCTCTAATAATAGCTTACACTCAGGGTAATAAGACTGCAAAGTAGCTTGGACACCAACATAATTAATAATAGTAAATATATGCCTTATACCACGTTTATAACTTCGTTAGTCACAGTGACAGTAACATATAGATGGCTACATCCTGTGCCAAAGAACCCTAAGTTCTATGATCTCCGCTCAGAACAAATCATGCTAATTGTAGACGCATAAACAGTTTTGCATAGTTTGCACAATGAATTGAAAGCTTGTGGTACTGCTCAGACTGGGTTGTTAAAAGACAAAGCAAAACAAGGGATTAGAGGAAAGAAAAACAGGGATAAGGTACTAGGAACCATTATATCATAAAGTAGGAAGGCTAGGCAAGATACAGAGTCCTGTTGTTCTGAGCACTGAAACTTCTGTCCAATGTTTATGCTCAATTCCAAACCTTCAACAAGTGCAGTTAACACATTTTAAAATGCTTGCCCCCTGCCTCACAGCCCCAGCAACCAGGAGGGATTTCAGATAGACAGTTTGTGGAACTACCAATCAAATACTGAGTTCAGACAGCACAATGACTTGCTATCAAGGGTTGATGTATGGGTTGAATGTGAGTTGTTGAAATGTGCGTCATTGTGCTGTCTGAATCCAGCTGTCACCCATGAACAATCCACAGTTCAACAACAAACCATGAGTTGTCTTCATAAGTTGTTTGTGGTCAACAATTCATGGTCTGTTAGTGTGGCTGGGCTCACAATGTTTCAGCAACAATCCACATTTTAATCACTGAACCCATACTCAATCCTTGAGTGTGGGCTTTGCCTGTTGTCTAAACTCAGTCATTGTGTAGCAATTCAATCTCCTGATATAATTTTCTGTGGTGAGAAAAAAGGCAGAAGTGCTGGAAAAAACATGGGAGGGTTACACATGGAACAAGGTGGCCATAACCCACATTTCAGCAACTACTCATGCTCAACCTTTACTATGTGGGAGTTATGTTGTCCGAACCCAGTCATTAGCTCTATAAGCAGGAGCCCATTTCTGTTCATTTATATTTATCAGCTTCTCTTCCTCACAAAGAGCCCAGGATAGCTACAGGGAGCATTGAATAAATAGCAAGGAAGGATCCATAGCTCAGTAGCACTCCATGCTGAACATTACATATCCAATGATGAGGCTCTCCAGCTAACAAGATTTCAGATAGCAGGGCTGGAAAGATCACCTGAGAATTTGAAGAGCAGCTGTCAGTCAAAGCAGTGCTAGGTTAAATGGACCAATAGTCTGACTTGGGATAAGGCAGCTTCATACATGTATTACAGTAAAGGTAAGGTAAAGGTTTCCCCTTGACATTAAATCCAGTCATGCCTGACTCTAGGGGGCGGTGCTCATCTCTGTTTCCTAGCCGAGGGAGCCAGCCTTTGTCTGCAGACAGTCTCCATGGTCATGTGGCTGGCATGACTAAACACCAAAGTGCACAGAACGCTGTTACCTGCCCACCAAAGGGGTACCTTTTCATCTACTTGCATTTGCATGCTTTCGAACTGCAAGGTTGGCAGGAGCTGGGATGGAGCAACGGGAACTCACCCTGTGGTGCAGATTCGAACCAGCAACCTTTTGATCAACCAGCCCAGCAGCACCGCGGTTTAAACCACTGCACCACCTGCAGTCCCTGTATTACAGTACTTGTATAAAATATTTGGCAATGCCATTCACTGAACTTGAGCAACTTAAAAGCGTTACTCAAAAAATTCTTCCACACATATACATTCAGCAATATAATCATTCTAACGAGACACTTACGTTTGGTCTATGTATACAAATGTAAGAATGAAGGGCATCTACGTAGGTATGCTGCAGCCTTTCCACCAGGGACTGGTCTTGAACATTTGGTCGGTCTGCCAATAAGCAGGTTAAAACTTCATAAGTAACTGAATACAGACTGATCAGACTTAACCTTCTGATGTGGAACCCACAAACCTTAATGTCACACTGCTTCCCTCTTCTGCTCCACAACCTTCCATGTACTATACAGCTTAGAAGCAATGTGCAGGATCGCTAACACTGCTGGAACCAATAACTGCTGAGATCAATCCATCATCAGAAGGGATTAATTAAGAAAGAATGAGATGAACTCAACTAAAGCCAGTTTCAATGGAAGAATACTAAGAGAATTAATACAGTATAATGGCTAAGCCATGAACCAGAAGGTCCCTATTGACATCTTGGCTCTAAGAAAGGTAGCTTTAGAGATGCCAATCCTATTTGGTCTCAGCCCTCCCACCTGCAATATGAGAACAAATCATACTCTCTACTTTATAAACTTGTTGTAAGGATGATTGTTGCAGCAGTAATACATATTGTTTGGCCATGACAAAACAAAAAGTCAATACAAATTTAAATGCATGAACAGACAGAATCATTGAAATAAAATAAATAAAGGTCTCTGAACACATTAGAGCTCTAATTCTAATGTTATCATTGTGATGTCAATAAAAAAGTGCTAGACTTTATTTAGTAGTTGCTGACAAATTATTTTTCTCTTTAACAAAGGATCCAGACGACCAGGCAGAAGCAACTCCATTGTGACATCCCACTTTGCTCAGGTTTGGTTTTCATACAGTGACACCAATGTGGGGCCAAAATGTTTATACCCTGGAAACAAATTAATCTGCCACAATTCCTTATCTCCAGAACTGTGTCCCAGTGTCAGGAGTGCATCTATTCCAGCCAGTACCATTGCATAGGAATACACCCAAATCATATAGTCCTTGATATATTATTATTATTATTATTATTATTATTATTATTATTATTATTAAAACATTTTTATGCCGCCCATTCGCCGAAGCCTCGGGGCGGCTTACAACAATGGAATGACAGAGGTCATCTGTCACATCCTCTGCTTTCACTTAGGTTCTCTAAAGTGAATCTCAAGTTTTGAAATGGGATATTTTTATGAACAAATGTATGCTTTGCATAAAAACAATTATATTCAGCCAGATGGATTATTAAGTCTGGAATCCGCAGATGCAAATGTCTTTTTTACTGTTGCACACAACTTATCCAGAAAAAGACCACATTCAAAATGTCTAAAATCACACGCATGCACATTGCTGCTCTCAATATCCTTCCAGGTGTATTACCTGCAGAAAAAATGCTGATAGCTATTAAAAGTGCGTATTCAGCATCAGTGAGCTGCAGTTCATTCATTCCTTTTGAAAATCCAAATATAGGATTAATGAACTCAAACTGAAGGCCTGAAAGAAAAAGACAAAGAGCAGGAGGTGAAAAATAGATACTCCTTCTGTGTTTTACTTACACACATACCCACACCACAAAGACACTGAATAAGGCTATTTGGAATTTTGATGGGGAACAACACTGAATCCAAAAGAGTTTTATTGGGAGGAAAAGCTCTTTATTTCTGACAGTATGCCTACTTCATTTATATTAAGTGCCATGTAACATACTAGCCCCAATAGGAACTGTAGTTGTGAAAGATAGCCAGCACTCCTTCCTCAAACATTCAGGCACAGACACAAAGAAATATTTAGCTAACATGTATCAAAATTATTTAATAGCAAATTTTAGACAACTTTATTTTAAAAAATCTTTTACATACAAGGGACTTTAAAAAATCACTGCAATAATCCATTTAACAGAATACAATGTGTCATAATTGTTTATCAAATGTAAGGGATTCTAAGAGCAAGAAGGCTGAGTTTAGTTGTATAGGGTGTAATCCTACATCTGTTTACACAGAAAAAGCCAGGTAGGATTGTTTGTAACCTCTACAGAACATGATAGAATTTTCATGTGATCTTTAAAAGAGCTGCATGTACGTTAAAATGTCTGAAAATATGCAAGCATACAAAATTTAGAATCTTCAGCTTTTTCTATCCACATGACCTTCAGGAACATCCCATCACAATCCCTATTTATGTTCCCTGCCTATACTCCCCATATCTTGTTGCCCCTTCCAAAAAATTATCCAAGCTCATATATCAGGCTAAAGCCTAAGAACTGTACCATTTATGAAAAATATGAATGTTTGGCTTGCTCCATGTAATGTATTTTGAGTCTAAAACTTGACTTCTATTGGAACACAGAATGGGCTTTACTATTTAGACTAGAAAACATCTGACATATATGCCCTGTTCATTGGCCAACAGTGAAGAAAAAGCATCTGCTTGTTAATCTAATGGTACTTAGCTCACCAGCTTTTGCAAAGTCATCTCGATTATAACTCAAATCCTTTAAAAATGTGATGCTTTCTGTTTCGGGATTGTAGCGCCGAGATGTCTCCAGAAGCATCACCTTAAGCATAAAAAGGCGATATAGTTATTAAAGAAGTCTACGAGATTGGGGAAAAAAGGCTCTGCACCCACAACCCATACCATCAGTGAGGACAGAAACAATGGTTTGGATCTTAAGAAGCACTCACAGAAGGGGGTTGGTGAAAGAAGACTTCCACACATCCTCCTTGCCTGTAGTTCCCCAACCTCTCCAGTGGAGGACACTCCTGGGCTGTGACATAAGGGAATGGGGCAAGCACCTTCTGTTGGATCACAGAATTGCTTGCACCATTTTGAACAAGTCTGCCATCTGTACTAAGTCCTGTGAGCATCATGCAAAACCATGCAGGAGGGGCCCCTAGCTCTCATGAGATGCCTTTGGGATGACTTGCAGGGCTGCAAGGGAGAGGAGGGCCCTGGACAGTCTCCATCTGCAAGCCCCCTTTTCTGAGCACTTCTCAGGATCCAAGCCAATATGTTTCACTGCAGCCATCACTTGGATTTGTGTTGACTCATGGCCCCACTTCCTATAGTCCCTGCAATAAGAGTTGCTGGAATTTGAACTGAAACACCCAGAGCTACAGATCCTTTCCCAAGAGCCAGTTGGAGAGGTGGGGCAAGTCAAACTCTGTTTTGTATAATATCCTCTGCTATAGGAACCCTACCACACAACACACAATTTTAGCTTGGAAGAACGGACTTGATGTCCAGGTGTGGAGAAGCTTCTCTGCTTCTTACTCCTGGAAGATGCTCTACCCAGTCTCAGATTAATCAAAAGAAAAGGCTCTTGTCCACTGGTGGTTACATAAAGAAAGCAAGTATATGTGCATGTTATTAAAACTGCATTGATGCTGTTACTCCTTCTGACAAGGATGACAGATTATTGGACTTACCTCTATTGTAGATGTCTTTAGAAGTGCAATCTGGTCTTCCCGGGTGAGTTCCAGGAAACCTGGCAACTGCTTTGCAAAGTCCACAATCTCCTGTACAGAAATGATGGCAAGCTCTGTGAAATGAGCAAAGCGCTGCTGCCGTGCTTCACGATGAAAGGGATCTGACATCTGAGGCCACGGCTGCAGTTGGGTGGGAAAGCCATGCGAAGAGGAGGAAGAAAAAGTGCAACAAAGGTAGAAAGCAAAAGCAGGAAGTTACGTTAAGTGAATGAGAAATATTCCATATCCTCCACATTTTCTCATGGCTCTTATTCACTGTTCAGTCCTCTTCCGCATTCTACAGTTTGTTATCGCACAAGGTCAAGTCACACTTAGAAGGTCCTTCAGCATCTTGAATCCAAGGGAGTCATACCACTCCCCATATGGCAAAAGTCAGTTTCCACTTGTCTTCCTCTAGGACCTCTCACTGAGGTCAGTTGTTCTGCTGGGTCTTGAGGCTTTAGTGTTAATTGTCTTTTAGCAGTTTTAAATTATTTTAATTTTTATAAGTTAAACCTTTTACATTATGTTTTTGTCTTGTTGCATTTTGGATTTTATTTTTTGTGACCCACCCAGACGGCTTCAGCTATTGGGCCAGATAGAGATGCCATGGGTTAAGGTGTCAGACCTTGGACTCCAGCTAATGCAAGGTATATGCAAGCACCTTGCATGGTCTACCATGGCCTTTATTCCCTGGTGTAGCCCTTGCAGATGGAGGAGAATTAGATAGGCAACATTATCTTCATTAAATGTAGCTACCTCCCCGCAAAAGTTGACCAGCATGCCAATGGTACTGAATTAAGTGGAAGTTTTATTGAGTACCTAGTTTCTCTTTCTAGTTTGGAGCCCACCCAAATTGTCTTTTTACCGTCACTTTTAGTCTGTCTGTGAAGGAGCGCCGATTACACTGCTGCTGAGCAGCCACAAGCTTTTCTATCATCTCAAGCTGCTCTGGTGTCATTTTAGGAGGTGTGGTCAAAGGAGATGGTGAGTTCTGGTGCACAACTACCATCCGGGCCTGATCTTCTTCCTGCTTCTTAAGTTTCTTCTGCTGTATCTGCTCTTCGGAAAGAACACCTAAAAGCAGAGTAAGAATAGGAACAGGTGAGGAAAGGCCTGTTGTTACACAAACCATGTCATCACTGAGCTGGAGAATGTCTCAATGACTCCTTTTTTGTGCTGCAATGCAGGCCAGAAGCACCATGTCTCAGCATTTCTTAGCAGCTGCATTGTAACTCTACACGAACAGCTATCCACTGGGGCAACTATACATTTATCAGCTGATAAATCTGCATCTTCTTCACAGAGCTCCTGTACAAGCAAGTCATTCTTGTTTCATATGAAACCTAGTGTGCCCTACATCAAGGATTTTAGAAGAACAGCCTTATCTTAATTTCTAGGAAGGCTACTGAGAAATCACTGAGAAGGCTACTGTCTGGAGGACACATAATTAAGAATTTGGAGATAGGAAAACACAAAGGGCTGTTATTCCACTGTATTTACTTTTAGTTTCATTGGATACTCAAGATCTGAACACTACACAAGGAGTGTTTCCTTCCTGCTTTTCAGCTACATAACCTCCAGGTGGCAATCTTATATAACAGAATAGTACAAATAATCATGAAGAAATGAGGGGTGTGGGGGGAAGCTTTTGCAATTAAACGTTGCATTTTCCCAGTTGTGAAAAACTTGCTGGAAGTGCTGTTTAGACACAGAAGTGAAACTGAAGGGTCATGACAATATCTGAAGAATTGTATTGTGTAAACAACTATAAATAGGGAGTGAGGGGCACACAATAAATGCCTCATCAAGAAACACCCAAACACAATTAAGTATACAATAAGTTCTGAGCAACTAATATGAAGAATTAGCTGACAAAGTACTTTGGTAATATCTTCAAAGAGAGTACTCAGTTAAAGTGCAGTGCTCAAAATCAAACAAGTATAATTTTTGTCATTTAATATACAAAGACAAGTATATTTAACATGCTGTTTTATCAATGACTGAAATAAAAATATTATAGAAAGTGCTGAAACAGAAAATTTGATATACAGGTGCCTGAAATATATAAGTTTAATTAGTACATTCTGAATAAAAAGTTTTCTCACAGATATTATCCATACCAGGTTCACACATAATACAAGCAAAAGTACAGGTTGAGTATGTACTGTTGTTGCATCACGGGGTATTATTCAATTATGGGCAGTCATGACATGCAAATCATAGAAGAGCAGAGTTGGAAGGGGCCATGAAGGCCATCAAGGTCCTGCTGTTGCAGAACACCAAGTTATACCAACCCACTCAGATGGCTGTACAGTTTCTTCGTGAATGTCTCCAGTGTGGGAGAGCCCACCACCTCTCTAGGGAGCTGGTTCCACTGTTGTATTGCTCTGACAGTGAGGAAGCTTTTCCTGATGTTCAGTCTGAATCTGGGTTGCCACAACTTGAATTGACTATTCCATGTCCTACCCTTTGGTATCAGCAAGATCTTGACCTTCCTCTTTGTGGCAGCCTTTGAGGTATTTATAGAGGGATATCATGTACCCCTTAGACTTCTCTTCTTAAGGTTGAACATAATTCTTTCAATTTTTCCTCATAGGGCAGTGTTTTCAAACCCTGGATCATTTTCATTGCCCTCCTCTGGACCCTTTCTAATTTTTCTGCATCTTTCTTAAATCTAGGTGCCTAGAACTAGACACAGTATTCCAGTATTCCAGATCTCATACTATAGGTTAACCATGAATGTTTAACCATGAACACCCCAGAGTTTACAATGCAACAACAAACCATGGGTTCTCTTCCTGGATTGTTCACAATTATCAACCCATAATTAAACCATAGCGCAGGGTTTCTACATATTGACAATCCTGCATATTCAACTACAACCTATATTCAGCCCATTCTTGGGTTGTCATTAAGGGCAAACCAAACCATTCTTTGTATACATTGTGTTGGATCCAATATTAGTCCTATATAGAGTAGACCCGTTGAAATTAATGTGGTTTAAATTAGACTAACACTGGAAATAGCAAATTATCTCGCCTTACATTCTGCTTGTCTATTTTGCTCCCAGCTATATGGACTTCTATCACTTACAGTGCTCTCGCATGCCTGCCTCCAGGCACTTGCGGAACCGGCACTCCTGACACTTCCTGCGCATGTACATATCCATCTCACACCTGCCACCATTCTTGCAGGCATATTGGGCTCCTTTGATGACACTGCGTCGGAAAAAGCCTTTGCAGCCCTCACAACTCAGGACATTGTAGTGGAAGCCTGAGGCCTTGTCCCCACATACGCTGCACACCTCATTTCCAAGCATCTTGGGGGCAGGGCCCTTCTTCCGTTTCAGAGGAGGATTTTCTAGAAATATATAGAGGGGGAAGAGAAAAGAGAAGTTGTAGAAATAAACCTGGAAAACCAGGAAACATAGTTTCCCATAAAATACAAATGGCATGCAATTCAGCAAGGGGAAAACTGAAATGCTACATCCCAAGGCAATCAAAGCATGTAAGAATCTAGGCCAAAAATGGTTGCAGATTCTTCCTCCTCCAGTTATCTTTTTATGACACATAGGAAAGCTTTTCTTGTGCTTTCCTAAAACAAAGGAAATAAACCACTGATTCTTACAGCAAATTCAAATATTAGCAAGGTCTAACACCCTTCTGAGGATTGTAGCATGTACGCAGCATATGGAAAATTACATCTTAGAATATTCTTCCCATTCCATTAAAATCTCCCTGCACATACAAAGCTAGAAGAGAGATTTTGACTAGGAGAGGCACTCAGACAAGCAACTCCTCTCTTCTCCCCAAGTATATATCTAACAAAGCACAGATGGGACCACACACCCTGCAGACAATATATATTTGACTCTGAAATGCCCTGGAAATAAGGATTCCTGAAGAAATTTGCAGAGAGAGATTGTAGAAGATATATGGGGGATGGAATAGTGAAGCAAAGCATCTGGTCTCATAAAGTAGTCCTCTAAGACTGCAATCTTATACCCACTAATCTGGGAATAAGCCACAATGAACTCACTTCTGAGCAGTTATATAGATAGGGTTACATTATTAATCTTTTTGTAACTTAGTCACCAGAGGGCAGCATTGTTTATTTCTCTCTTGCTGGAGTAAGACTAGTTTTTATGAAACTCCGAGAGGAATATGGCTTGCCATACTGCCTGTTAGCTTTCTCTACCTGGCTTCTTCCTGATGTGTTGCACTGAAGCTCCTCTATCATCCCCTGCCAGCTGGGCATGATGGGAGCTGTAATCCAACACATCTGAAGGACACTGAAAGACAGTTGGGATTTCACTATTGGCTCCAGTCAAATTTTTTGAATAACAAAACTCAGAACAGCTGAATGGGGATTTGCATAAACACCATGAACAGACAATTCCTACTGTTAACCACTGTCAGACCTCAGAATGAGAGGACACACTTCTTGTCTTGCTTCACCTTCTTTGGGGTTGTCTACATGAGACATTTAGGGAGCACACCAGAATCTTCACTCAAGGTAACTTGCAGGCATTTTACATGAAGCTATCAGCCTCCAAGGCTTCTCTCATGTTTTTCAGGCATGTTTGCAGTTTTTCTAGAATGAGGAATGATTTCCTAATATCACAGTAAGTGACTCAGAATCCCATGTATTATCACAATTCTGATGTAACACAGCTATAACACAGCACCACCTTGTGGTTGTGTAATGGAATATACAGAGAGAGAGAAAGAAAAACCTCTGGGGAAAAAGTAAAGGTCCCAGTCTGAGTCCCATTAAAAAATGGAAGAAGCTTTGGTAAAGCAGCTGGTTCAATAGAAGCCTTTTCTCTCTCCATCTCTCCATTTCCCCATCACTTTCCCCAACACATAGGCACAAAAGCATACATGCACTCAGAAGAATGGTGAATTCACTGCTAAATATTTCTCCCCATAATTTATTCCTTGCAGCGAATTGTGCATACTTCTTAATGTGCAGCAGTATTTAAAAAATGATCCTGTGAGATCTGATGTAGCCCAGGCTGGAATTCCACTACCTGAGTCTGCCACACTTTTCAGTATTGTACACAGATCAGTTCTTAGTCTGTTTAAAACCCCTGCTTACTGCTTGAAACGAGGCCTTGAACTTTATTTATTTGTTTATTTATTTATTTATTTATTTATTTATTAATTAAAACATTTCTATGCTGTTAACTTACCTACATGCTCAGCAGGAATCTCTGAGCTATGAAAAAGTGCAAACCCTTTCTCCTCCATGTGAAAGACATGTGTCTTCTTTCCATGATTCTGCATCACAAGCTGTGTAGGACCCATGATGGCTGCCCAGCTGGAGCTCACCTCCTCATCGCTAAAGTAAGATTGTGACCAAACTCAGCACACACATATCCAGGATTTATAATTCTCCTTGCAAAGCAGAGAAGAAAGTCTTTGGAAGAAAGCAAAGGCATAAGGAAAATGCAACTACTGAAGCTATCAGGAAGTCTTTTTCATACTAATCCCACAACAACAACAGCCCACCTTCTCATGTGGCCCATTCCCTCAAAATTTTCATCTCTGCCCCTTTAAACAGGATGCATCCAGTCTTAAATCAGATCTCCCACTATCCAGTCAGGTAATTAAAGTTTTGACTTGATTTCTGTTTTACTTCAGTTTATTTTATTGAACAGGGTAATTTATATTCCAGCTTTTCACTAGAAATATATGAGTCAAGGCAGCTAAGGATAATTTCATAAAAATATAATTGAAAAATAGCCAGTTAAAACAGTGTAATGGGTAATTAAAACTTCAGTTTAAAATGAATACAAAGTCTGTCTAAGTAAGAATGCCTTAACCAGATAGTAGAAGGTAAGGAAAGCCAACAAACCTTCCACAGAAAATTTCATCTCCATGGAGGTATTTGGTGGGTACATAAGGCAGCTAACTGAAAAAAAGAATTTGCAGGACAAAGCAATTTGCAAGGTGTCTCAGCTCCCTAGAAGCTAACTCAGCCAAGCCCTGTTAAATGAAACCAGCATCCCTACTCTAACTCCTTCCCTGAAGCACACAGGTGTTTAGGGTCTAAGAGGTAGTGAACTAAACAGACTTGCTTTAGAGATATGGATGCTGAACGTTGCTGTGGAATAGTCTCCCCAATCTTCATTACAGTAAAGATGAGCCTTACAGTTCTTATAAAAGCTCTTGAAATCATGAAAGGCAGAAATGGTTTAATTTCTGCACCTAAATAGCTGAATGATACAACTTGGTCTCATGCCGCCATCAACATCATAGTTAAGCAACACTGCAAACTAACACCGAAGGGCAGGACATTCCAGGAAACGGAGGAGGAGGGCCAGACAGCTGGAGCCAAAGAGGAGGATACAAATGCATGCCTAGGGTAATTTCAAAAGTGGCATGTCATCAATCTAGGAAGCTGGCCAAGTCAATCAGCAAAAGTGAAACTTGCTACAGGTTGAGCATTTTAATCCACAGGGCAGTTTCTAACAGGACAGAAGTTTCAAGTCACCATTTAAGGTAGCCTGATACGATATTGTTGGGAAGGCTTTGAAACAAGCTTCAGAAGCTGGAGACAAGCAACAGCATTTTCACAGACCTGGAAATAGTCCCAAAGAGGAAGTGCTTGCCCTACTGCTGTGTGCTCCTAGCATGCAAAAGTTGTCCAGCTGGCTGCCCACTAGCTCCCAAACCATGCTCAAGCTGATGTTGTTGTCATAATAAGCCTTATGCAGCCTGTGGGCAGGGTATCTAGACAACTGCCTTCCCGTCTATTGTTGTTGTTGTTAGTGGCGAAGTTGTGTCCGACCTATTGCGACCCCATGGACAACATTCCTCCAGGCCATCCTGTCCTCCACCATCCCCTGGAGTCCACTTAAGCTCAAACCGACTGCCAGGGTGACTCCATCTAGCCACCTCATCCTCTGCTGTCCCCTTCTTCTTTTGCCATCTATTGTTCCCAGCATTAGGCTCTTCTCCAGGGAGTCCTTCCTTCTCATTAGGTGGCCAAAGGATTTGAGTTTCATCCTCAGTATCTGGCCTTCTAAAGAGCAGTCAGGGTTGATCTCCTCTAGGATACCCTTCTATACACCAAGCCAATCTTCGGGATCTTTCTGATCATTCCAAAATTAACAGGATGTCAAGACAAAAAAAACATGTCTTTCAGGGGGAAGCATCTTCCCCCTGGAAAACTTCCCCCCATGTGGACTGGGAGAGCAAAAATGTGGCATGTTTCAAACAGCTCCTGAAAACACACTTGTTCACTCAGGCATTCCCTGGCTTGTCATTAAATTAATTGTGCTGCTTCGTTGTACTGCTCCTTGTATTGCTCTGAATTATTACTGTGATTGGAATTGTTTTTAACATTGTATTGTAAATGTGGTTTTAAAATTTATAAATAAATTCTTCAGGGATTGTATTATATGTTGCTGTATTTAAGTGTCACAAACAAATACATAATGAATTTGACATTCAGGCCTGCATTTTGAAAATGCCCAGCAAAGCTTGCTTGTCTCACTTGGCATATTTCCCTGTCTGGTTCCCACCCCTACCTAGTTCATAGGTGTTTGATCAACCTTGCTTACCTGTGAATACATCAGAGGGAAATACCATTTGAAAAGTTAAATTTCAAGGTTCAATATTTTCTGGTCTAGATTCATTAGCATAGAGATGCTGTGCCTTATTAATATTGCCAGGGGATGTCCTCTGGCAGTCTCTGTAAAGACCCAGAATAAATTGATTAATCAACACCACTAGCAGTGGTGTGTCACCTTTTCCTTTAGTCCCAACAGTTTCCCCATCAAAGAACAGGACTCAGGGCTGGACCTATCATTAGGCAGGGTGAGGGAGCTGCCTCAGGCAGCTAATGCTGGAAGGGGCAACAAGGTATTGAAGGGCAGATCTTTTTGTACCAGGAAGTATGCCCTAACCTGGCCTCCTCCTCTTGGGTACAGTGGAAGACATCAAATCACAGATTCTCTGCCGATGCAACAGGGTGAGAGTGTGATGTTGTCTTTGCCTAGGCAGCAAAATATCCAGGAGGGTGATCGTCAGTCTTACCAGACATGGTGCTAATTCTCACACATGGACAACATGTGAAGAGGGACTTTGATTGGGCAAATATATAAGCATTTAGATTTGTTTGGTCAGCACAGATTTTGGCAGCAGGGTAGCTGTTCCTAATGGGGCCACCTTATCTCAAGAAAAAGTATATGTGGGTGAACATGCTGGAGCTTAGCATTTTTTTTCCTGGTTCCCCTCTGTTGTTACCCAAACCATGTCCGAGGAATTTAATTTCTCAACCCCCATCACCCCTGCCTTCCATTCATAGCAGCACCTATAAGAGGAGAGAGTGGAGGAAAGTCGCTTTCTCGATTCTCCCTTTTTTTTCAGTTTAGAAAACACTGTGGCTGTTTGTCCTCTCTAGAGAACAGAGGAGAAACCCTACTCCCTTCTAGTAAATGTGATGGCAGCAGATTACTCCTGTGTTTACTGCTGTCTGTAAGAAAACAGAAGGGTTCAAGAAGAAGCGTCACTTGGACTTTCTTCCCTCTGCACAGGCAGGAAAATTCTGAATAAAAATGGAAAATTGTGCTACTCTAGTGTAAGGATTCCAAACTGATGACCCAGCAGCACTATTTAAGATGCATGGCACAAGTGCGATTCAGCTGGTGCTTTAAAGTAAAGCCCTCTTCACTTGTATTTGGTTACATGCAACTGGGGATCGTGGAGACCTTGGAACACAGCTTTGAAAAAGGGCTTATCAGGTATGCCAGGTCTCCCCAACCTTTTTGGACCCATTGGCACAGTTGGAAATTTGAGCAACTGCTGGGGACATCACCACAAAATGCCCTATCAGCAGATTGTCACTTTGATGTCTGCCTACCTCTCTTGTCTGGTTCTTATTCAGCAAAAAGTTTGTGTCATGTTTACTGAGCATGGCAAGTGTCTTTAAGAAGGAATTGTCTAATATAGCTATTTGCCAGTGTTGCAATACAGATAATGCTTCTTTTAAATATGTGATTTAGCAATATCTAGGACATGCTACTTTGTGGGGGCAGGGAGGAGATTATTAATTAGATTCATTTTGTACTGGAAAAGTCTTTACTATTTCCTGATGTACAAACTCTTTTAAATTATTTACCTGCTTCATGGAAATTAACAAATGATCAGCATAAATGGATTATCTGTGCCCTTTTGACAGCTAAAAGTCTGAAATTACAACACTGGAAGAATAAACACCCATCTTTTCTATTGTAATCAGTCCACAGTGTTGAGGATCATACAACACTTTCAATATTTGAACAGGTGGAATTTAGACATCACGTTCAAATGGATGCTTATTTGGATATTTGGTCCACTTTTGTTTGATCCCAAGACACTATGAAGGTCAGGATACCGAAACTATAAATAAATAAATGGCAGAGAGCTGAATGAATTTCATATGTATTCATTCCTATGGATAGATACAAATGCATGAATGTATATAAATAAAAAAGAGATTATTGATAAAAGGTTTTCCCAGTGCTCAAAGGCACCACATTGGAGATTTCTGATTTACAATATAGACCTTTAAAGAAACTTCTCATGTAATTTGAATCACTAATGACCTGTTTTCCTAGCAATAAACCTATTTAAAAGCAATTGCACCAGATATAAATTCTGTTTACTGATCTACATGCTTCATTACTAATACACTGTAATTTTTGTGTTTATATAGGAAATTCGGATACTGTACCTCCAAATGTCTAGAGGATAGTAATAAAAGTCCTAGCTATTCAATATTATTTATTAAGTACTCATTTGGAATGGTGGCCATGATTCCTACTGTTTTTATATTTAATTCATAAATATTAAATAGGGAAATGGTTTATGGATGTAAGACTAGGAAAGTAGTCCACAGTGCTTTAAATGCCTGCCTTATCACAGATGGTTGGTAGCTCTTGATGTAAGGGCAAAGAAGGTTCAAAATTCTGAGTGTTTGGCAAAGCATTTTTTGAAAAAGAGAATTAGATACAAGTTGTTTTGAATTTTGACAGTTAAAATCCAGAAACCAACAGCTAGGGCAGAAAAGCTGAGAGGATGCTATGAAAGCAGATGGTGATGCTGTATGCAGAGATGGAGAAAAAGCAGCCCACCAGAGGGACTGGAAAATGTTGGAGAGGGATGAAAAGAAATAGAAAAATAGCTCCAACAAAGGATGCCAGAGCTGTGGGTGTGTGAGAATGCCATGGAAGGCTCACAAGACCCTGCACCATATGTCGAAAAGCATCCAGTGCGTTCTGAACTTCATGCAGGCAATTAAATTTGCCTATCCCACCCAAAGAAGTGAATTCAAAAAGTAATAGGAGCCTTCTGTTTTAATCCCCCCAGAGACTTAAAGGAAACAACAACAAAGAAACACTGTACACTGTAAAGCCCTACCTCTATGCCCAAAAAGAGGCGGAAAAGCAGCTGCAGCCTCCTAGAAGTATAGAGTGAAAATGGATATCTCACCACTACTGTATTTTTGCTACTATGGACTAAAATTGCTACAATTTTAAGGAGTTTCTTACTAAAAAATACTGAACGTTGCATTCTCATTTTACCTTCTGGATCCACAAAGTGTTTCAGAACGTTGATGCTCTGTTGAGGTTGATAGGATAATAGGGATATTCTGGAGGATTTCTGTAGATATGATCCTAAAAACAAACAAACAAACAAGTTCAACATAGCTGTGAAACAAGGAACTTTTTTTAAAAAATCAGACTTATGTAGTTTGATATAACTGTAATAAGATGTTTCCTCAGAGGCAAACTGTAACATTTTCTTTACTTGAAATGTACAGCTATCATACTTAGTCAAACGAGTAAGTAACTTGCTTTTAGGATGGCCAGCGCAGGTTTATCTACTTAAATGTAATTATTTTATTCCAACTTACCAGTGCCTTTCTAAATAACAAAGACAAGGGAAACACTCTTGCAGGATTTGGAAAGCTCACAAAATATGCAAACCACCCTTTTCCCTAATCATTGCCCATCTGCACAACCAGGGCAGGCAGAATCCTCCAAGTCTGGCACAGGGGCATAAAAGTTAGTTGGAAGCCACTGCACATCTGACAAGTCCTACCCCAGAGCATCAACCTCTTACAGAGCTTCAAGGCAGCAGGACACACAGCACCAAGCCTCCCACCCTGCTCCTGTCCTGGAGGTCCCTTAGCCTGCTCTAGCCCAGGTTCCTGCTCGCTTTGGTATCTCCAGAGCATCATGCCTCTTGTTCAGCATTTCCCAACCTCATCTTGTCCAGCTGAGTTGGACTAACATGGTCCATAAGGGAAGTTGCAGTCCAGCACATCTGGAGGACATGACATTGGGGAACGTTGCCTTAATGTTACTGCAGAAACAACCTCCTGGCTGAAAATATGAACAAAAAAACAAGGGGCAAAGAACAGAGGGACCAGCCACAGAGTTGCAGCGCTCCAATGCAAAGCTCCTTGCGTTATTGAAATTCAAAGATGTTACCTTGAGAGGACCTGTAACAGGGAGGCTGGTGTACACCGTCTCGTCAGCTGCTCTTACTGCAGGTCCCAGAGGCAAATGGATGGAATATGAGGCAAGACTTCCTCTCAAAAGTGCAAGGAAAATTAACAGCCTAGCTCATGGGGAAGTGAATGTAGGTAAAAGGCTGAGGAAAGCATATATTCTTTGAATTGTGGTCACAGTCATGTCTCAGATCAGGCGCCAAGTACTTCCAAGATATGTTGGCACCAGTCTGTCCCCACTTCCCTTCCTAAAAACAGCTGGAACTCAGAGAGAGCAAGGTCCCAAGCTCTGTTCTTTCTGCTGTTTCAGATACCAGGCATGACTTATTAGCAAAACAAATCAAATAATCCAAGCTGCTTCATCTTTGGCTGGTATTCATTCTGCTCCAGCTACAAAATGTGTCGCCTCCACAAAGTAAAAGTTTAACGCTTTCCCCCTACGCAAGGGCTCCAGCTTTGTTTTCATACGCACACAGCTTGATGTCTAAGGGCCAAACAGTCCATTGCATGGAGACATGAGAAACACCCCTGCCACTGTGGGGGTCTTTTAATGGAAACTTATCCCTAAGAAGCTGCTGTCTGCAGCAGAGCTGGGATGCGGCTGGGAGAAGAGAAGAGCTGTTTAACTCTTTTCCTTTGGAAATCTTCCAGCTGCTTTCCTCCCCACAGATGAAAAAATATGGGTCCCTCACAGGGAGCAAAGCAAGTTAAGATGAGCAATTCTGAGCAGAGAAATGACGAAAGGGGCTAGATCAAGCATTCCCCTCCCATTTGCTCTCCATGACTGCCTCATATTGATATTTTTCATTTAACATAGGAATGTCAGTGAGAAGTTACATTCAATTAATGTCTGTGTGATTTGGCTTCTACTTTTTCCTTTTCCCAGACGAGAGCTCACCATGGGCTTGTCTCTGTCAGCCAACACTGCTCTTCCCGCACTATATTCCTCTGGTCTGAACATTGCTTGTGTTGTTGCAAGCAATTTCAACATGTCTCTGTTGAATCTAACAGCTCCTCTACATGAGGTATTTATTGTACACTCAAGATTCCACATTCACTGTAGTTTTCAGGTAATTTATAGATTGCCGTCATCCTCCAAGAATCCTATGCTTCTCAAACTTTTTTCAGAGCAAGGAAAGTCCAGAAATTGTGCTAGGAGAAGCTGTCATATTTTTGTAATTCTGCTATACCACAGTGCCTCCTTGTGGCTGTGCAATGGAATTTAGAGAAAGGTAGAAAAAGGGGGAGAAATAAGAAAAAATACACATGTAAAGGAACAGATCTTAATCCCACAAAGAATCTGGAAGGGGGTGATTAAAAATCTCATGTAAAGAAGCCGTACATTCAGAATGTTCCTCAGATCAAAAATAATTGATTTTTTATATAATGCAATGAATTTTGAATGTATTTTAACAGAATAACTATGGGTCTCCAACTCAGCTAAGAGTGATTTTAAAATGTGGGATATTGGGGGGGAGGAGGGCAGTTGAGTGCTTTAGAGTTCCTTGGAAGCCTATTCAGACATTCATCCATGAGCAGATAAAAAAGGAAGACCAGCATCCCTGAAAACTGATTTGCACACTGCAATCATTCTTCCATTCTGATGTACACATCAAAGTAATTCCAAGTATGCTCTACAGCAGCAGTCCCCAACCCTGTGCCCTCCAGATGTTCTTGACTAAAATGCCCCACATTCCTGACCACCAGACCATGAGATGATGCTGTTGCGAGTTGAAGCCCAAAACACTGGAAGGAATCCGCTTAGAGAAAGCATGCAAATTAGGGTGCAAACCCCAGTAGAGCAGCAAGGGGGCCCAAAACTTTGCACCATGGAAAGTCTGCGTACTAGATTAGATGCCTCTGCAAAACGCAAAGACAGCGCAGCACACATGCCAAGGTGGAGTACATTCCCTGAAAGCAGACAGTCTGAAAACCAGAAAGCTAGTGCAGTCTTCCCCAGCCTCATGCTTGCCAGCTGCTTTGGATGACAAATTCCAGCATTCCTGACCATTGTCCATGTTGGCTGGGGCTGATGGGAACTGAAATCCAAAATATCACAAAATCACCAGGTTGAGGAGATTTAACCAGCAGTTCACATAAGACAGGTACAGATTCAAGTACCCTGTAGGTTTCCATTTTGAGATGCCTTTGTTTTAAGGTACCCAGCAAACAATGTGGGGTGTGCACAGATAGAAATTCCAAATTCCTATGACCATTACCTCATGTAAATAGCAGGTTCAAAAACTATTTCTAGGACCCTGGCAGTAATTCCTGGAAACTTTCCAGCCACTTTAGTTATCTCAGTTGGTGGTTACTATGGAGGAATAATCCACAGCTGCAAAAGGCTTGTAACACTTCCTACTTACTCATCCTACAAGTCAGTTACAGCATCAAAATGATCCAGTATATTGCCATAGCACTGCCTTGCACAAACTGCTGTCTTCCAGATGTTTTGGACTACAACTCCTATCAGCACCAGCCAGTCCAGGCATTGGCCAGGAATGCTGGGAACTGCAGTGCAAAACGTCAGAAAGGCACCATAGTAGAAAAACAGGCTGTAACCAAACCCTTGCTGTGTGGGAAGTAGCTGACTGCACATAAGCATTTTCAATTTTGTTCTTGCAAAAACAACTGTAAACAATTACTGTCACAGTAGTTGCAGCAATTCAATCCCCTATTCCTGGTCTTCATCAAGGGTAGAGTCTATAGGTCAGTCCTTAGATTATCCATCTTATTAGTTCTTACAATACACAAGAAGGCATAATAATTCACTTATACAAGGTCATGGCTGAGTGGGGAATGGAACCCAAATCACGTAAGTCCCAGGTCAGCACTCTAACCACTTCGCCACACTGGCACTCCTGACACACTATTCACGCGGAGTGAATATAAATACTCTCTGCTCTTTTCATCTCCTATGAATACCAAGGCAACTTGGTGCTGAGGAGCACTATGGTGAAGAAGAAGAAAGGGAGGGAAAAGAGGAAAGCAAGCACAGCAGCAAATGGGCAGCAATGCCAACCTGGTACATGCAGAGGAATGGGCAAGGGAAAATAAAGCCAGCTGTTTCAGAAGCATATGCATATGCTGCACTTAAAAGAAATACACAGATTCCAGAATGAGAAGAAGCATGCAAAAATCATATGGTGTGTAGCAATACAAAGTTCTGCCTGCAGTGTTAAAAGCACAACTGCCTATTCCTCATATAGGTCTTCTTGGTGTTGCTGAAGAAATTCTCTTGGTGGAAAGGCTGGGGCAGGGCCAGCACTACAATTAAGCAAAATGAACCAACGCTGCCTCATGCAGCAGACAAGGGAGGCAGAAGTGGCAGCCCTCCAGCCTTTGCTCTTGGAGGACAAAGCCAGCCATACATGCCACACAGCTTGTCCTGCCTGCCTCAGGTGTGCTGGAGGCACTTTCCTGCTTACTGTGTTGAAGTGAGATTAAACAGCCAGTCCAGTGAGATTCTACATGGGGAAAGGTGAGAGTCATCTCCTCCATTGCCTCAGGCAGCAAAATGTCTTGGGCCAGCCCTGAACTAAATCTGTGCAATCACACAGGCAGCCTTCCTCATTTTCTTTGCATAGCAACTGCCAATATGGCTTCTTCTTCCCTCTGAACAATTCATCTCACTTTTACATGGCCCAGCAACTTTTTCATGAACTTCCTAAAAGGCTTTCCCACTTCCTCTGAGGATTTTCTGCTGGGAACCTCAGTGTCCTCACTGTGTTCCTCTTAAACTCCCCAGTACACTTTTTTGCATATTGCAAATTGCACATGTATGTCTAGGGGGAGAGAATAAATGGCTGCACAGAATGTGTGCATAAGTGGAGATGAATAGATGAACAAGCATGTATGTATACATTCATGAAAAAGTGTCTGGCTTGGATGCTTGTCTCACCCACTGCTGATGCGGTCTCCAACACATTGCCACTAATGGCATATGGCCTGCAAGGGACAAAATGTTTCCTACCTCTTCTCCAGGACAATACCCTTTCCCAACCCATGTATGCCAGGCAATGAAACAATGAACCTGGAACGCTTTACATGAAAATAATGTACTCTGCCACTGAGCTATGACACTCCAATGCTTTTTAAAAACTCCATGGAGAAGTGCACAGGCATGAATGAGATTTGAAGGAAGAAATATAGTAGATGCCA